TTTAATGTGTATTTATTTTTGAGAGCAAGAGACAGAGAGTGACTGGAGAGGGACAGAGAGAGGGAAACAAAGAATCCAAAGCAGGTTCTAGGCTCCGAGCTGTCAGCACAGAGTCCAACATGGGGCTGGAACTCACAAACCACGAGATCATGACCTGAGAGGAAGTCTGACACTTAAACGACTGAGCCACCCAGGAGCCCCTATTTTCTTTTTTTAAAGTAATCTCTACACCCAACTCATGACCCTGAGATCAAGAGTCACATACTCTACTGGCTGAGTCAACCAGGTGCCCCAATTTGATTATATGTTGTTAAGGATTTTCCAATCTTTGCTTTTGAAAGATACTGGTCTATAATTTTCTTGTAACAACTTTGTCAGGTTTGGATATCAAAGTTATGCTGGCATCATAACATGAGTTGGGAAGTGTTCTTTGTCTTTTAATTTCTGAAAGTTTATAGATTCTTTCTTTCTCAGATGTTCATTAGAATTCACATCTGAGTCTGGAGTTCCTTTTTTTTTTTTCCTTTTTTAAAGATTTTATTTTATTTTTTAAAGTTATTTACACCCAGAATAGGGCTTGAACCCACAAACCCAAGATCAACAGTTGCACACTCCACTGACTGAGCCAGTCAGGGACCTGGAGTCTGGAGTTTCCTTCTGGAAGAATTTTTGATGAATTCAATTTTTTAAATTGGCTGTGAAGATTTTTTTCATCTATGGTAGTTTCTATGGTGTGATTTTCAAGGCATCTGTCCATTTCATCTAAATTGTTACATTCCTTGGCAAAGAGTTATTTAGGAATGCCTTGTTATCTTTTTAATATTCGTAGGATCCACGGGCGCCTGGGTGGCTCAGTCGGTTGAGTGTCTGACTTCAGCTCAGGTCACGATCTCGCAGTTTGTGAGTTCAAGCCCCACGTCAACTTCTGAGCCATCAGCCCAGAGCCTGGAGCCTGCTTCCGATTCTGTGTCTCCCTCTCTCTCTGCCCCTCCCCCGTTCATGCTGTCTCTCTCTGTCTCAAAAATAAATAAACGTTAAAAAAAATTTTTAAAAAGTATTTGTAGGATCCCTAGTGATGTCCTCTTTTTAATTCTTTTTTAAAATTTTTAATGTTTATTTTTTTTAATTTTTTTTAATGTTTATTTATTTTTGAAGGAGAGAGAGAGTGTGAGTGGGGGAGGGGCAGAGAGAGAGAGAGAGAGAGAGAGAGAGAGGGAGGGAGAGAGAGAGAGGCACAGAATCTGAAGCAGGCTCCAGGCTCTGAGCTGTCAGCACAGAACTCGAAGTGGGACTCAAATGCACAAACCATGAGATCATGACCTGGGCCGAAGTTGGACACTCAACTGACTGAGCCACCCAGGTTCCCCTTTTGATTTCTGTTTTAACTGCAAACTTTGTGGACAAAGTAGAGTGATCTTTGTAAAAACATAATCAGACAGTTTTATTCCCCTGCTGAAAACCTTCAAGCATTTCCCATTGTATTTAGGATAAAAAACAAAATTATTACCATATCCTTTAGAGCCCTCAGTGGTCTGGCCTTTGTCTATTTCTCCAACCCCATTTGTTGCTACTCATTCACTCACAAAGTTTCATTCACAGTGGACTTTTGACAATTCCTATGCAAGCCAAGCTGTTTCCTGTTTGAGGCTATTCTCTTCACCTGAGGCCATTCTGCCCCCACAATTCTGCATAGTTATTTCCTTTTTATCCTCCATGTGTCAGCTTAAAGTATAGCATATTAAAGAAACTTTTCCCTGATGATTCTAAAGTAGTTCTCTGATCCTTACACCCAACAATTATTCTCTATAATGTGGCCTATTTACTTAATAAGCATTTTCCATAAACTATCATAATTTTATTGATTATGTTTATTGACATGTTCCAAATTTATTTGACGTTAGAGTGTCATCTAAATAGGATATTACTGGGGCGCCTGGGTGGCTCAGTCGGTTAAGCATCTAACTTCCACTCAGGTCGTGATCTCCCAGTTCATGGGTTTGAGCCCCACATCAGGCTCTGTGCTAACAGCTCAGAGCCTGGAGCCTGCTTCAGATTCTGTGTCTCCTTCTCTCTCTACCTCTCCCCCGCTTGTGCTCTCTCTCTCTCTCAAAAATAA